CAGGAGAAGGGGGCATAGCCAAAGGTTGATTAACAAATACAAAAGTATTCAGCCAGGCACGGTGGCTCACACCTGTAATCCCAGCACTTTGGGAGGCTAAGGCAGCCAGATCACGAGGTCAAAAGAACAAGACCATCCTGGCCAACATGGTGAAACCCCACCTCTACTAAAAATACAATAATTAGCCGGGCATGGTGGTGCGCGCCTGTAGCCCCAGCTACTCGGGAGGTTGAGGCGGGAGAATCGCTTGAAGCTGGGAGGCAGAGGTTGCAGTGAGTCGAGATGGTGCCACTGCACTCCAGCCTGGGCGACAGAGCGAGACTCTGTCTCAAATAAACAAACAAACAAACAAACAAATACAAAAGTACATCTAGTTAGGAGGGATGAGTCTAGTGTTCCATAGCATTGCAGGGTGACTATAATTAACAATTTATAGTATATTTCAAATAGCTAAACGAGCACATTTTGAATGTTCTCAGCACAAAGAAATGATAAATGTTTGAGGCAATAGATAAGCTAATTATCCTGATTTGATCATTACACACTGTATACATGCAATGGAAATATCACACTGTACTCATAAATACGTACAATTATTATATGGCAACTTAAAATAATTTTACAAAACACACATTTGCATGTTGATTCTTAGGTTTTTACAGTTCTTTAATCTTATTTATTTACCTGTTTTTTTTTTTTTTTAAGACAAGGTCTTCACAGGGTCTTGCTTTGTCACCCAGGCTAGAGTGCAGTGGCATAATCACAGCTCACTGCAGCCTCGACCTTCCAGGCTCAAACAATCCTAAATTTTACCTTTTGACATACACAGACTACTTTTATTAGATTTTAATGTAAAGTCTCCACCCTGAAGTGAACGTGGGACCATGTAACATAAATGTTCACTTGCCACACATCCTCACAAGCCCCTTTCACGAATATTCATACCTCCTCCTATAACCTGTTAAATATGTATGTTTAGCCAACCTGTTTATCATAAAACTCCTGTCCCACCCTTCTTCCTTCAAAGTGCCTCCTTTCTGTCCCAGCCAGAGGGTCTGCTTCCCAGGCTGTGGGTTGCAACCCTTCTCAAAAATAAAGTTCTCCTTTCCAAATTTAAGATCTTGTGATCTCTTTACTTTGACATATGAGATTTCCCTAGCCATTTTTTAGTCCATCCCTGAAAGACCAAACGGTTAGATCTTTGATATCTTTTTCAAGTACCTCCCATCTGGCCTCAGCCATCCATTTACAAGTATCACCAGTCCCAATATCATATGAATAAATTGGGAAAGATCAAGGAATCATGGATCATGTACTCCATGAGAATTTTTTACCTCTGAGAAAATTTCTGGGGGCTTTCCTTTGAAACCTTTCACTATTGCTCTGAACTCAAAAGATTTCTGAACAAGGCATAACAGTAATTAAAGAAGCAGACTTATTGATCTGAGGGCCCAACTATATAAGGCATTTGTTTGGCTTTCTTTTTGTCTTTGGGGTAGGAAGGTAACTGAGATAAGAAGTTAGGAGATTCTGAGTAGGCAGAGAAGGATAGAAAGACAGAATGCACAGTGAGTTCAATCCACCAAAATACAAGTTTTTTCTCATAAATTAGCTGCTTAAGTTTTTCATTTGCTTTTTGTAAGAAGTCACTTAGAAAGGCAATTTTTGGTTCATTTAACCTTTTAGAAGTCTCTGCATGTCAATCAAAATACACCCTGTTGTTTCTGAGCTGCTTTTTATCCTTTTTTTCTTAATATTTTATTTTATTCCTTTCAGACCTAGTCCTGCAAAGATCCTTTCTTTTCTAATGCCTTGCAAGTGAACAATTTTATCTAGGTTAAAACTTCCTCACTTTGACCACTGCTAACTCTTAGATAACCTTTGGTAGGTTCACCCATTTCTCTGCAAAAGTGCAGACTCTGGGTTGATAGTTTCTTACATATGAAACTGGCTGGAGTTCCAGGTGGAGGAGTTTCAGACTCCTTGGATCCAAATGAAGGCATCATTCCATGTATTCTCATACCCTTTCCAACCATAAGCCTCCTACTGGACTCAGTCCTGTTCCCATAGGCCTTGTACTGGATCCAGTCCCAGTTTCTGTCGTAACTTCTGGACCCAGCTCAGATAAAAAATGCTCAAATAAACTTTAAGAATTTGACACAAGTTGTAAAGTTTGTATCCAAGCAGGGCCTACAAGTGGCAGCCTCCAAATGTGCAGTGAGAAGCTGTGAGCACTAACGGCTCAGCATGTGAAGCAGACCCACTGGGCACTGGTTACCAGCCTGTTCTGAATTATCATAAGCAACAATTTACACGCAGTGCATTTCGTACCTATAGACAAGTGGTAGGGACGAAGGCTAGGACTCACTGTGAGTCAATCCCCCAAAGCTCAGAAAGTTACCCAGGTGGATGAAGTCTCCACTGCACATTCCTCACTCACACCACAGATAAGAGATCGCAAAGAGCGGCCCACCCAGATTACACACCGCGTGTTCACAAGAATCACTGGGCTAAAGTGCTGAAGGACCTTCTATTTCCAGGGGAGAACTGGAACAGAGCCTGGGCTACTTCGGCCAGTCCCTCCCTATCTCAGGATGTTGCATCCCAGCATGTTATGCAGTTATTCTTGAAAACTACGAAGGAAAAGGAGGGAGAACTGGGTAGGCCCAAGGCTATCCAGAAAACTGTCCTGCGCAATGAAGCACCTACATCCGTTTAGTCACTGTTCCCAGAGGTCATGATTGAGGGGATGCGGGGGCCTTCAGACCCCATTTCTGACACCAGAACTGTTAAAAGAAAAACTTTACAGAAAACCAATTCAAGTTTATTTGAGCAAAAAAACAATTCACGAACCAGGCAGCATGTACAAACAGAAGAGGTTCAGAGTTCCACTCAGCAGCATGAGCAGCAAGCTTTTATAGACCCAACATGGAAGCACAGAAATTACTTGATTGGGTTTTGGTTTGCTTGCATAGGAGCTGGTGCTACAGAGTTGATCTCAAGCTAATGGCCTCCTTATTCGCTTTAGCACCCCACACCTAAATCCAAGGGAAAGCTTGAAGGGAGCCCAGCACCCCAACAAACTAGTATATGCCTGGGGGCAACCAACAGTGTTTTTACCAAGTAACCATGACACGTACATATTCCTCAGCAGTGGCAGAGCAGTCTTGTAGAGTCAGATAGAAGACGATGGCCTGGCCATGCATGCTTAGCTGCTGGCAAAGCTCATTCTACAGGTATTAAATGGTATTTGGCTCACAGCGTGCCAAGCACCATTCTAGGCACTGAGGATGCTAAGGTGACCCCCAACAATGTCCCTGATCTCTTAAAGCTAATTCTAGTGGGATGCTGAACACAGGATGTAACCTAAGGTGGTGATGAGTGGTACACAGACAAATCGGAAGGCACAAGTCAGCCACCAGGGAGGGGAAACTCCAGACAACATAGACACATAAGCCCAGGTGGAGAGATGGATGACTGAGTTAAATTTGGGTGAGGAGCCTGACAAATGAAAACACAGAAGCATGACCCAGTCAGGGGAAACCACAACAAAAGACTTTTGGTGGGAACTGCCTGTTTCTTAATTTCCAAAAGTCAGTTAAGGTTCATACACATTATCTCATTTCAACATCACTAGTAGAAAGATGCCATTTTTATGGAAAGGGGATCTGAGGCCCAGAAAGGGGATTATCTGTCATCGTTTTCCAGTCAAGGGCAAACATGGGGATATCCCATCCTAAGATTTTGCACTCCAGCCCCTTTGACCTGAAATTACTGAGCTAAAAGGGACCGAAAGATCCTAACGGAACCACCGATGGAAAAACTGCGGCCCAGGAGGAAACACACCAAGCAAAATCGCACCGCATCAGGGTGGCCAGTCTCCAGACCCGCCAGACCACCTCCCCGCGACAAGGGTCTCAGGTCTCCGAAATCTCGCCACCTGCGTGTGATTTGCGGCGCAGAGGCCTCTGCTGCCTCGGAAACCTTCAAAGGTGGGCGGGTGGGGGGCCAAGTCCCCCTAGGGATGAAGAAGGGGGCCAAGGAAAAGGACATCGCCGCCCTGGGCAGAGCACGCATGGCCCCAGCGACCCGGACACGGTGAGGGGCGCGGCGGCCCGGGGTGGACCCGAGGCCTCCACACCCGCTGCAGGGCCACCCACAAGGACTCGCCCAAGGCCTAGAGCGCGCAAGGCCCCTCCCTCCGACTCCGTCGCCGCCAGACTGGCCGCAGCGGAAGCCGGCGCGCGATCCCACGCCGCGCTTTCGTCACTCACCTGACGGCTGCCCGATAAAACGAACATTAAAATTGCACTTTGCACCGAATACAGCAGCACCTATTGTGGCGGCGCATCTGAATGCGAAAATTAACGCCAAAATATTTCCTAGCGGCTAAAAGAGCTTTGAGCCATGACGAATCTGCCTGTCCGCTCGCCGGAAATGCGGGCCCTCCTGCCGGAAGCTGCCCCTCCACCATTTTGTGGCCCGCTATGGCGGCGGTGTTGAGGTTGGGTCCGGGATGCGGGGCATTTGACTGAAGGGGTAGGCCAAGTGGAGGTATCAGGGACGTCGCGCGGCACAGAAGAGGACCAGCCTGGACGCCGGGGACGCTGTCATGTACGGCGCGGGCGGGGGCCGCGCCAAACCCGAGAGGAAAAGTGGCGCGAAGGAGGAGGCCGGGCCAGGCGGTGCCGGCGGTGGGGGCAGCCGAGTGGAGCTCTTGGTTTTCGGCTATGCCTGCAAGCTGTTCCGGGACGACGAGCGGGCCCTGGCTCAGGAACAGGGACAGCACCTCATCCCCTGGATGGGGGACCACAAGATCCTCATCGACAGGTCGGTTCCTCCCCCCACCCGTCGATCCTCCCCTTCCCTCACCCGCTTGATCTCGTCTGATGTTGACTTGACTGCAAGGACTGCAGAGGGTTTTCTGGAGCCAGCGGGGATCTGGGGGACACCCCCTCCCCTGTCCCCACCTCCTGCTGGTGTTCTGGTGGTGTTCTGGTGAAACCTGCCCTAAGGCACTGGCTGGAATTGCGTGCCGCGTCCGTCTCCGGAGGGATCGTCTTTGGTCCCGCAGCCCCCTTGACCCCTCACCCTGTCGCTGGGCTGCAGTTGGCGATTCCGCGCGGTGAAAGCTGCCAGTGCCCAGGGTCTGCTTCTGAGCGCACCTGGGCCTGCCGCCCGGCGATGCCATGGGGTCGCGCGCTGCTTTTCTACTCGCCGCGCTCCCACTGCTCGGTGTACTGGGAGGGTAGCCTGGGAGGCGTGCCTTTATTCTTCCGAACCGCCGCTCACTGAGACCGTGGCTAGAAGTCTCTTTTGGACCCTGTGAGTTAGCCTTAACCTGTTACGACCCCAGCGCCCTCAGTGGAGCGCCGGTACTTGAACGGCATGACGTTTGACTTCCTGGTGATAATCCGACGAGTTCGACAGATTGAGGTAGTGAGCGAAGTTGCCTGTCAGTTGGCGGCCAGTTGACTTCGTGCGGACCCTGGCCTTGCCCTTGGAAGAGATAGTGTTCTTAGGGCTGGTTTCACTGTCTCTTAAAACCGAAGGGTGGAGCTGGGATATAGATGTGTTGTTTCTTTTCAAATCAAACCTGCTTTAGGTCGTCACTCGAGGGTGTCTAGCCATTATGGGCAGTGGGGGCCTGGGATTAGGGATTTCTAAAGGCGTTTGATTTGAAAAGGATAACGTTACATGATGTAGGTGGTTTGCTCCCCTCTTCCCATTTTTTCAGTCCCTCTTCCCCTCGTCTCTGGGTTTTGGGGTTGTTGTGGGGTGGTATTTTTTCTTTTTTGCCTGTTCGGCTACTTCTGGGGCCCGGACTGAAAAGCTAACCATGACCAACCATTAAACTGTGGAATAGTCTCTCCACGTGAAGAAAGCCCATCGTTTGAGACCATTAAAACTGGATTCTTCAAAGCCCTGGATCATGACCGTAGGGATGACCTCTGAGCTGGCCAGAATGGACACATTTATGACCAAATAGGCCTTTTTCCATCCCTGACGTTTCCACTTGGAATTAGAGCTAGAAAACAAGAACTGGTGAAGGGAGGGCTGCGGAATCAGATCATGCCTGGATCTGATGGCTCCGTGCTCCGCTCAAGCCTGCTGTGCCTTCACACCATGGTTTATATTGAATGTGTCACCTGAGTTATCAGGCTTGCTTTTCCAAAGTGTCACTTGTGATATTTATCATTAAAGTTTGGTAAGCAATGAAGTCTGAGCTCTTTGTACAGTTTTCCTATCATTCTGTACATGATTTGAGTTAGGTCTTCCAAAACTGGTGGGGAGCAAACGCCGCACATGTACATGTATAGTATTTTTAATAATAATCTACATTTGTAAGTTAAGGAGGTTTACATCAAAGTCCAATTAATTTTGAAATTTAATAAAATGCAGTAACTTGACTACCCTGGAATTTTGGGCCTTTTTCTTGTAAATGTCTTTTTTGGTCTACATTAATATTTTTGGTTCCCATTACAAAAGTCAGCATTTAAAAAATAAGCAGACTTTTGTTTGTTTCTCTGTTTGTTTTTGAAACCCTAAATCTGAGTGTTTTAAGTAAAGTTCACTAACTCACTCATTTATTATCTGACAGTTTTACACGTTGACAGCATCCTCATTGGATCGTTTATGTTAAAAGCATAGCAGAAAGTGCTCCCATTGTTTGGCTAAATTACTGATTGGTCCATGCAAGAGAAACATGGAAGTGTCTTCATGTATGTTACTTCCTGCGGGTATAAAGTTCAGAAGGAAATATTGATACCGTATCTTCTAATAGTTTTGCTCTGTTGCCAGTGAACCTCCTTAAACTGCATGTATATGTCACTGTTCCGATGTATGTGTGTCTCTCTATCACATAACCCAGCACTTATTTCCTCAGCCAAGTGGCTAGGGGGCGAGCCTAGCCAAGATTTTACCTCCAATGGACGCAAGTTTCTTTGGTGAAGATCTCTCCTGAGAGTTCGGGACTAGCAGAAAGAAGCGAGGAAATTTCGACCGTTTGGTTCTTACGGATAGGTATTTATGTATTTGGTTTGTGTGAATGTAAGCTATGATATTTAACTTTTCAGAAAAAAATAATAATTTTTTGCAAGTGGCATTGAATGGTTGACCAAACCATAATGGTAAGAACTGCCAGTGAAGTGGATACCATTTTTCCTAATAATGGATTGTTTGCCTTTAGTTATAAATGTTATCTTACTGTGGAAAGGAATTTAGACTTTGTTAAGATAACTTGAGTTTAAAAGTAGGTGAGATATGACTATCCAAATTAAATGTAAACCTGGGAAGAGTTTTTATACTTGTTTTAATATTTTTATTTATTTTAATCGGTAAGTATGTGTGTATATATATATATAAAAAACACACACACACGCCAGTCTAGACGTTAATTTCCTTTTATTGACCAGTTTGTTCACATTACAGATATGATGGACGTGGTCACCTGCATGACCTTTCTGAGTACGATGCTGAGTATTCCACATGGAACAGAGATTATCAGCTGTCTGAAGAGGAGGCGCGAATAGAGGCCCTGTGTGATGAAGAGAGGTATTTAGCCTTGCATACGGACTTGCTTGAGGAGGAGGCAAGGCAAGGTACTGCTCAAGACAAACTTACTTCAGCAACAAACTTTTTAAAATTTTTAAGTATTTAAAAATTTACTCCCATTCATTTTTTTATACTCACTCTTTCTGATATTATCTTGACAGTACCCAGTGGATTGGAAAAACAGGAGTCTTTGCGTTCTGAGAGGACCTCAGGATAGTTTATAAATAGAGCCACAAAGAATTTTCCCAGCTTTTGAGGGCAGACTGGGATTTGAAAAAAACAAAAACCAAACTCTTTAACTGTTCTTCTTTAACAGTATCGTATAAATAAAATTGATGTTCTTGTCTTTGCCGTAACAATCTTTAATACAGTTCTTAATCCCAAGATTTTCTCAGCAGGAAGAAATTTTCCACAAAAGATGTGTATTCAGCTGTCTGTGGGTAAACATGTACTGACAAAAGTACATATTGATAGATATAAAGTGTGAATTTTAAAAAATATTTTACCTCAAAAGGAGGTTGAAAAAAGTATGTTGTATGCTTTACTGATAGCTACAACTTTAGAAATAAAAGTTTTTCTCAGTAATTTTCTATTTTTGTTGATAAAATTCTCATTTTTATTCAAGAGGAAGAATACAAGCGATTGAGTGAAGCACTAGCAGAGGATGGGAGCTACAATGCCGTGGGGTTCACTTACGGTAGCGACTATTATGACCCGTCAGAGCCGACGGAGGAGGAGGAGCCTTCCAAACAGAGAGGTGAGCGGGAACTGCCTGGACTGCTGGTGTGGGGCTACCTGTGTACACACAGGCTGCATGCACTATGGGCAGGTCTGCAGAACACATCTCTGGACTCATGATAACACCACTGTGACCACAGGGGAAAACGGGAGGAAGTGGTATTCCTGCTTTTGGTAAAACAAAGTTAAAAACTAGAACAGGAATGATTAGTGGAGGTGGAAAGTGAATGCATTGGATCATTTATTTCTCATTGATTCGGGTAACAGAATTACTCGCTCCAGATTATTTGTTTCTAGATTGTTAACGTGTTCATTAATATCCTCAGGGATTCATTCTTGAGGCAGTGAAAGAATAGGTGTGAGCTGGGATACATTAACCTCACCGCCCTCTCACCAATCTGCTTCTCCATATCCCTGCACAACTGAGACAGTGACACATGCCCAGTGGAAGGACACAGTGAGTGAGTTACTACTCCCCAGAAAACAACACAGCTCTCCGGTAGCCTTGGTGCCACCTAGGGCATATGCTTATCACAGTACTTTAAATTAAAGATTTGGAATTTATGCTTTTCTGGATTAACATGGAAAACTTTGGATATAAAAAATAGTGCTGCTGAAAAACCTGGGCTCATGTGGTGTAGACACAAATATCCTTAATCACTTCAGTAAGCGTTGAGAGCTCCACTACCACAGCACTGCATCATGGTCAGTCATTAGTTACCAATAATGGTAACATGAACCTGACACATTAAAGACGGATCACTATATTCAGGATGTTCTGTTTAAAAAGAAGGAGAATGTTAACTTAGAAACTGACTCAACGTTTAGTAAAGTGGAATTACATCAAATGGAGATTCAGTTTTAGAGCTAATTTAATCTGTTATTCGGAACTTCATTGGTTTCTCCTTCAGTAACACTTTTTTGTTATCTTTTTAAATTTTTTTATTATAAAATACACAATAATTTTTAAAAAGAGATGGGGTCTCACTGTGTTGCCCAAGCTAGTCTCAAACTCCTGAGCTCAAGTGATCCTACTGCCTTCGCCTCCAAAGCACTGGGATTACAGGCGTGAGCCACCACGTCCAGCGAAGTAACACATCTTTTAACAAGTGTGAAGCAATTACAGCATTTTAGTATTAAAGCAAAATGATGTCTGCCACTCCGTGCTGTGACTGCACCAGGGTTCTACCCGTCGGCACTCTCCAAGGGCTGCGGTCCTAATGGAATGATAGAATGTGGGGCAAACGCACACAGGCTTTCCTTTTGCCCTGCCTTTAGTCCTGCTCCTTACTTCCTGGGCACAAGAATTACTGTTGCACAGCTCTATTTTATGAGCTTTTAGAGAAACTTTCAAGTGTAATTGTAATTATACCGAGTTAAAGGCTAGTTAAGGTACTTAAGACTTTTTGCATTAACTTTCAAACCTACCCATCCCTCAGAAGTTACAATGCACTGGAAATGTTCTATCAGGTCTAAAAAGTAAACACCCATTTATTTATCCAGCATAAGCTCTCCTTCCTAGGGTTCTGGATAGTTGTGATTTTGTTGTCTTATCTCTAAGCGACACACATGAGTTCGACTTTCTATCTGTGGTGTTTTTATCAGAAGGAAAGAATAGATACTATAACCACTTCACAAATAAAGAGTTGAAATACAGTCAGCTTATCGGGTCCACATCTGTGGATTCAACCAACCACAGATCTAAAATATTGGAAAGAAAATAACAGAGTTTTATTGGAACACAGCAGTGCTCATTTGTTTACATATCGTCTGTTGCCACTTTCGCACTTCAACAGCAGAGTTGAAGAAATGAAACAGACCATATGGCCCACAAAACCAAAAATATTTATTGATACTGTGGCATTTTATAGAGTTTGTCAGCCCCGGTTCTCGCTGGTGGACCGTTGTCTCAGTGTAATTATTGGGCTAAATGGTGTTCAGTTTGTTACAATTACTGAATTTTGAGAACTTCAGCATGACTTAGTTTATCTTCTGAGTATTAGTTTGCTTTCCCCTTAAGATAAAATTCTCTTTAGTATTTTACAGTGTTACTTCTTTTCTTTCTGTAATCATGTTCTCAGAACATTACCTTATATGCTGATTAATTTCCTTAATGGAAATTGGGCCCACAGAAAACTTAGAGCTTGACGTTTTATGTTTAACTTGCATTAATATAAGTGAAACACCTAACACACACACACACACACACACGTGCATATTGTGATAGAATCCAATACCACTAACAGCCACATTGAGTGTCACATTCTGTTAAAATAATTTTTTTTCCTGAGCCATCAATATGTCTACCTATGTCTTGATTTTCAAAATTACTCTGTTGTATTGTTTGTTAGTATTTTAAAGCCTTGTGATACTAGCCAAAAGCAGTTGATGGTGCCTCCATCTCTGCCATCTTTACTATTTTCAGTCAAGTTTCTTTTTTTTTTTTTTTTTTTTTGAGACGGAGTCTCGCTCTGTCACCCAGGCTGGAGTACAGTGGCCGGATCTCAGCTCACTGCAAGCTCCGCCTCCCGGGTTTACGCCATTCTCCTGCCTCAGCCTCCCGAGTAGCTGGGACTACAGGCGCCCGCCACCACGCCCGGCTAATTTTTTGTATTTTTTTAGTAGAGACGGGGTTTCACCGTGTTAGCCTGGATGGTCTTGATCTCCTGACCTCGTGATCCGCCCATCTCGGCCTCCCAAAGTGCTGGGATTACAGGCTTGAGCCACCGCGCCCGGCCTTCAGTCAAGTTTCTATCCTTTAGATGTTCATAATTTTTCATCATTATTCTATATCCATTTTTTTCTCTTTTTTAGGGGAATAATGGGGCGGGGACAGGCCCTCACTGCTATATATCTATTTTTTAAACAAAAGATTATTTGAATTTATTTAAATCTGAGTTTTTATTGCAATGGTTGGTTTTTATTTTATGCTACTAAAGCTGGGTTTTTTTTGTAAATAAAGGTATATATAAGAATAGAACAAATCTATTTAACCCATCCATCCCAAAAGGCTATTTCAATTAAAATGCCTTTATTTTTGTGAATAACTTAACATTAAGGAAAGGCTTTTTGCCTAGACAATGTTTTAATCGTTTTTTTCATTTTAGGAAAATATAGTAAAAGTTGTATTTTTAAATTTATTTTATTTTATTTTTTTGAGTCAGAGTCTCGCTCTGTCACCCAGGCTGGAGTGCAGTGGTGCGATCTCAGCTCACTGGAACCTCTGCCTCCTGAGTTCAAGCAATTCTTATGCCTTAGCCTCCCGAATAGCTGGAATTGCTGGCGCCTGCCACCACACCTGGCTAAGTTTTCTATTTTTAGTAGAGACAGGGTTTCACCATGTTGGCCAGACTGGTCTCAAACTCCTGACCTCAAGTGATCCACCTGTCTCGGCCTCCCCAAGTTCTGGGATTACAGGCATGAGCCATCGTGCCCAGCCTTACTTATTTTTTTTAAGGCAGTCTACCTTGGAATATAAAAAGTTGCATTTTTAAACACACACTCCTACCTCATTCCCAAAGAGATTTTGAGAAAGAGGAAACATCTGCTGCTTGGCATTTTACCAATAGAAAATCGCTGCAGACCAGTGTTTCTGGTATTTTCTAATCTTACTGTGTCGTTTGGTTACTGAAGCTGAATGACAGGATTACTAATTACAGAGAGCTTTTTAAAAAGCAGTAGTAAATCTCTGCCCTCTCATTCATCTCTGATTGATTGATTGATTGATTGATTGATTGATTGAATTTTGAGACAGAGTCTCACTCTGTGGCCCAGGCTGGAGTGCAGTGGTACAGTCTCAGCTCACTGCAACCTCTGCCTCCTGGGTTCAAGCAGTTCTCCTGCCTCAGCCTCCCAAGTAGCTGGGATTACAGGTGTGTGCCACCATGCCGGGCTAATTTTTTGTATTTTTAGTAGAGACAGGGTTTCACCATGTTGGCCAGCCTGGTTTTGAACTCCTGACCTCAGGTGATCTACCTGTCTCGGCCTCCCAGAGTGCTGGGATTACAGGTGTAAGCCACTGCACCCAGCTTTGTCTCTGATTTTTGAAAGAACAGGGGACTCAAACAGAAATGGATGGGACAGTGTTAAATAACTGTAACTTAATAGGGATTGTAATCAACTTGTATCTGATCAGACTAGAATACCCAAGTTTTTATATACCAGGAAACCTGCTTAAAATTCCTCCTTGGTTTCACAGAATGAGGCTTGACAGGAGATCTTTGCAAATTATTGATTGCTTCAAGAGCCTTTACTGTGTATGAAAGAAACATTTATTTTCATGAAGATTTAAGGTTTGCTTCTTTAATGTCATCTGTTTTTAAATAAGAACCTCAATAGATCATTGAAATCCTTAAAAAAGTTAGCTTTTTAAAGTTTGCTGTGGTATTTTTGTACATTTCAGTGTGTCTTTTTAAACTGGTAATCATCTGAGTTTTTGAGATGTACTTAGGTACCTTAGAATACAGAAAGATAATGTGTAGTACCTTGTCTACCACGTAGTAGGCAAATACTTGTTAAGTGAATGGTTAATGAATAAACAGAAATGGAAAAATAATTGATTATTTGTGAAAGAGGTAATTTGCTTGGGTGGAGGAATCTTGACAGTTATACCCAGGTAGTTTACAATTCAAAGATGAAAATCATTTATCTAGGAATTGATTACCTTGTGTTGTGTCATGCTGTCAGGAATACACAGAAATAGTTGGAGAAAAATCTTAGCGATACCAATGAAATACTTACCTACATACCTGAAAGAGATGCGGAGGGGAAAAGGAACATGGACTGAGCATCTGCTAAGTGCGGAAGATTATGGTAGAGATGTTCAGGTGGGCTATCTCACCTGAGCCCCACTTGGCCCTGGGAGTAGATACGATGACTTCACAGCCTGTGACAAAACAGAGAACAGCAGAATCCTGGGGCTAACAAGTGGCAGGGCAGGAGTTTAACTACAGTTACCCTTGAACAACACAGGTTTGAACTGCATAAGTCCGCTTATATGAGGATTTTTTTCAGCCATACAGGGATCAGATTGAGGGATGTGAGACCCGCATATATGGAGGGTCAGCTTCTTTGTATATGTGGGTTCAAATGGACCAAAAGCGGAATTCGCGCACATGTGGATTTTGGTGTCCGCAGGGGTCCTAGAACCCTGTGTATACCAAGGGAATGCCGTGCAGTCTGACCCTAGACACACTCCTGCTGCTGCACCACACCTCCCTGCCGCAACCGCCCCTGCCACCCCCCGCCCCGCCTCATTGGGAATTTTGTAAAGTGAGTTTCACTTGCGTTGTAGGTAGAAGAGAAAGCTGAAACTGGCTTCTAGAAGTAAAACAGAAGGTAAAGAAGCAGGAACAGCCAGTCACATGCTTCCGTCTTGCTGCAGGTGCCTTCCTCCCTGCATTGTTCTGAATTTTTAAATTTTCTTTTTATGCAGAAAAAAATGAGGCTGAAAATTTAGAGGAAAATGAAGAGCCCTTCGTTGCCCCCTTGGGATTGAGCGTCCCATCTGACGTGGAGCTGGTATGTGTCCTTCATGAGCACTAGTTGTCGTCATTATGATTTATCATGATTCAGTCCTGCTTGTGGGAAAGCTCAATGATGATTACAGCTGCTTTTTAGGCATGTAATGCTTTAAAATGGTTTGTGAGTTAATGGGTAAAAAGATCACACCCTACTTATTTTCCTCAAAGAAAAAGGGAAGACTTATAGCAAAATTTGAACTAGACTGGAGCATTAGGGACTTGAGGACTTGGGTGTGTTTCAGCGGCCATAGAGTTGAATCCCCAAGTCAGAATCAGTGGCAAGTGGGCTGTTAACCACACATAGATGCAAAAGCACTCTTGCTCAGGACAGCGTTGATTTCAGTAACGTTGCTTTGTTCTGGCTTTTTAAAGTGTGATTTTTGGGGGCACTTCACGTTACATTTTCTTGGCAGTTTTCTGTGTTGTGATTAGGTCCCTGTGGCATCTCCAGGCCCAGGCCGCCCTTCCACTGATGAAGGGGAATTCTACCCTGGTTTTCCTCATCTGAGGGCTTTGCAGCTGGTTACTGTCTGTTCAGCATTGACCTTTCCTGCTATTTCAGTTATGTCACATTAAATGAAGTTATAACAGGTGTTAAAGCCCAAACCAGGATTTTTCCTTTTTTTCTGAATGTTCATTGAGGGAGTTCCACATTCTAGTCACGTGCTAAGCTGCTTTTTGCATATTAATCTTATTTAATGCTAACAGTCCTATAAGTGAGGTGCTGTTTACTCTCCCTCTTGTGCCGATGAAGAAACTGAGACAGGAACGTCAAGAATTTGGCTATTAAATGGCAACTGGGAACCGTGGTCTTAACTATCATGCCATCTTCAGTCACCGTGCTTTATGGGGTTTTTATATGTTTACTAGGGAAGTTGAAAATCTTTCTGCTGCGTGTGTATACTTGGGAAGGAATCTTAAGTGTTTGTGCCTAGCAGGAAGTTTTTTCTTGGACATTTTTGTAACTGGACTGCAAGTGGCATAGACGCAGGCATTCTCGATTCTTTTTGTGTCCCACATCCTGAATCACCTGCACAGTAGATGCCGGGAAAGCTCAGCACAGAAAGAGCATCTCTCACCTCCCACTGCGATCACTTGCTGCCAGTCTCATTGAGTTCAACGTGAATTTGATGGTTCTTACCCTTCATTATGTGATGAAGGGCAATATAAAAATAGCCCTTTTAATTCGTGCCTCCAACACTTTCCTTCTCTTCCCTTATTCATTTACATATCCTCTCTCTCTCTTTTATTCTTGCAAATATGGGTAAAATAACTTTTTGGATTTTGCCTAGTGTAATTACTACTTGTATTGGTAGTAATTTCTCACATGGCTATAAAAAAATACCTGAGACTGGGTGATTTATAAAGAAGAGGGTTAATTGGCTCACGGTTCTGCAGACCGTACAGGAAGCCGGGCAGCATCTGCTTCTGGGGAGGCCTCAGGAAGCTTTAACTCATGGCGGAAGGTGAGGAGGGAGCAGGCATGTCTTAGCATGTCCAGAGCAGGAGGGAGACAGGGAGGTGCTACATGCTTTCAAATGACCAGATCTCACAACAGCTCATTCACTGTCTATCACGGGAGCAGCACTGAGGAGATGGTGCGAAACTACTCATGAAGGATCCACCCCATGATCCATTCATCTCCCACCAGGCCCCACCTCCAACATTGGGGATGACAATTCAACAGGAGATTTGGGTGGGGACACAGATCCAAACTATATTACTACATCTGTTTGTTTCTCCATTTCTAGTATTGATGATTTTGCTATAGTTAAAGCTAAAATTACCCAAAGATTTGATATCCTGAGACTTGTATTAATATATTTTCCATGTATTAGTATATGTCGTATTTCTGTTTGTTCTGAAATATGTTTATTATGCATGACACATTAACATGAAGCTTTAAAAATCAGTTACTCCATTTTTATTAAATGCTAAGTGCTGCATCTAATATTTAATGCTAAAAAGTTTATGTGAAGTTGACTATATGGAATTTTGTTTTTAGTGTTAAAGATTTTTTAAATTTTATTCAAATTTAAATATAGAGGTACAATAGAATTTTGTTGCCTTAATTCCTATTAAAATATTTAATAGCTTTGTGTTCTCAGCCAAACTAAGCATCACTAAGCTCTTGGTAGTCTGCCAGATCAAACATACTTGTCACTCATTGGAGAACAAAGTAAGTCTTAGTGTGTAGCAACTTGCTATCTTATCATTAGAGTTTCTTCTAATATTATAAAAGGTCTCTTGAATGTTATTTTGACTGTGTGGAAACTGAGGGCTTGATTGAGTCTCTCATTTGCGTCTTTCATTTACTTTTTGGTAGTGTCAGTATTTCATTCTCATAATTATTATGATTTTTTGGCAGTAATTCATTGTGTAAATTATACACTGTGGTGTCCATGTTAGTGGAGAAAATGTAGAAAACAGAAGTGTCTGAATTATAAGGTGTTTTGGTGAGTAGGCCTCAGGATTGTTGAATTGTGGTTAAGTAGACTATTGCTGCCTCAGGGGCAGGACATGGTTTGACTCAATGACGAGGTTGGAGTGATTGGGAAAAACAGCAGGTACTTTAGGAGGTTCTTGGTTTTTGAACTAACTTGGTTTAGAACCTAATGATGACAGGATCCTTGAGGCTTTTGGGTGAAGAGTAAGAAGTAGTTAGAAATTACAGCACCCCAGGCTGGGAACAGTGGCTCATACCTGTAATCCCAGCCCTTTGGGAGGCTAAGATGGGAAGATCACTTGAGGCCAGGAGTTCGAGACTAGCCTGGGCAACATAGTGAGATCCCGTCTCTATAAACAAGTAAAAATAACAGGCCAGTGTGGTGGCGCATGCCTGTAGTCCCAGACCTGTTAGGGCATGGTTCCAAGGGAAATGTGCTTGCTCCAACACATGTTATGGACAGAAGAAAAGCAGGGAAGGATTTGATAGTTGCTGTTATGGGCAACGTTTACTCCATTAATGAATAATAACATAGAACCAGCCTTTATGGAGCACTTACTGTGTACCAGACACTGTACTAAGTGCTTCTTTAGGCGTATCTCTCAGTGAATACTCAAAGTAACTCTACAGGCCGGGTGCAGTGGCTCATGTCTGTGATCCCAGCACTTTGGGAGGCTAAAGTGGGAGAATCGCTTGAGCCCAGGAGTTCAAGGCCAGTCTGGGCAACATGGTGAAACTCCACCTCTACAAAAAATAAAAAAAATTAGTCAGGCATGGTGGTACATGCCTGTAGTCCCAGCTACTCAGGAGGCCGAGGTGGGAAGATGGTTTGAGCCCTGGAGGTGGAGGTTATAGTGAGCTGATATGGTACTGCTGCACTCCAGGCTAGACAACAGAGCCAGATCCTGTCTCAAAAAAATAAAAATACAAAAATAACTCTATGAAGCAGATACAGTTGTTTCCAGATGTTAAGGTTTAGAAAGTTAAGAGTAACTGCCCTAAGTTAGATATGTTAGAGTAAGGCCTGGGGTTCTAGCCAAGGGACTAACTGCAGAGCGCTGAACCACTGAAGTTAAGCTTTATCAAATCTGTGCAGATTAGAGTGTGATTTCATCATAATTTAGGTACTATATTGTCACGGAAGGTGGGTGGGGAGGGAAAAATGTTGATTCATTCTTGAACTGCTGTGGAGTGATTGGCCTTTTGCTCGGATTCGTAAGGACTCTTGACGTCTGATGAGCAGTAACTCTTGGTCCCCAGTGTGTCCTCCAGCTGTTTTCTCCCCACGCTCTGTCTTGTAAGTGATTGTGCGACTCTGTGCAGAACTTAGGTGTAGAGTGATACATGTTCCTCTATTCCTTATGGCTTCAGAATTTTAAAGCTTATGTTGGAAGACTTTTCCCACTCGCAAGAGTTTGAAAATATTTTCCTATATTTACTGCTAGTACTTCTGTATTTGTTTTTGTTTTTTGTTTTGTTTTTGTTTTTGTTTTTGTTTTGAGATGGAGTCTTGCTGTGTTGCCCAGGCTGCAGGGCAATGGCGCAATCTCGGCTCACTGCAAGCTCCACCTCCCGGGTTCATGCCATTCTCCTGCCTCAGCCTCCCGAGTAGCTGGGACTACAGGCGCCGCCACCACGCCTGGCTAATTTTTTGTGTTTTTAGTAGAGACAGGGTTTCACCATGTTAGCCAGGATGGTCTCCATCTCCTGACCTCATGATCCACCCGTCTCGGCCTCCCAAAGTGCTGGGATTACAGGTGTGAGCCACCGGGCCTGGCCGTACTTCTGTATTTGTATTTTTGCCTTTGAATTTTGGCTCAATCTGATACTTATTTAGGGCTCTGGGCAAAGCAGGTATTTGATTTTTTTTCTCCCCTAATCCTGTGAGGAGAGGGCTGGCCCTGCTGCCCCTGGGGTTCCTTGCTAATTTCCCTGTCTTCATGTCATGCCACCTCCTTCCTGGTTCCCCGATGGGTCTGAGCTCAACCTTTTTCCAAAGCTCTTAGGAAACCATACATTTGTGTGGGTTTTCTGACCCGTAGATACCTGTCTCCCGTTTCCCATGCCTCCCCTGGAGTTTAAATTCACATTAATGGAATTTCCAGGGAGGGGGAGAGGATGTGTTAGACCCTTTCCGGAGCTCTGTCAGCTTCCTTAAACAGAAGCCTTCCCCACTGGATTTAAATTCGAAAAACAGTTTCCTTTTCTCAGGCCATTGTAACATGCATATTTATATGTTGACTGTATTTTTTAAATCTCATTGTGTAGTAGGAATGATCATGATATTCTTAAATGGAAAATGATTTACCTAAAGTCTGCATAATAAAGAAAGTAAAGAATGGCTTTTTCCAAACCAGGTACTTTTTAATCTCATTCAGGGTTGGTAGCCAACCTTGAAATATGTTCATAAGATGTTTTGTTTTTTTGTAAAAACCTACACGTTGCTTTTTAACCGTGGTAGTAGTAATATTATATAACAAATAGGCCGACTTTTAAGAAATTTTAGATCAACAAGTTGATTTGGTCAATAAAGAAAGCCTCAACTGGGAACATCATATTTTCCTTTAAGGGTGGTTGTTATGAAGTGATCATTAATTATTGATGTGTTTATGGAATATTTTGTTTTAACAATCAATAACCAAAGCTACTGAAAATCCAAGTCATGATCCATATGCACACAATGGGCCTTTAACATGGAATTTAAATTATTTGGGGATTAATGAATAACTTTAATTGTAGACATTTATCCTTTTTAAGTATGAAGGATGTTATTAGTTCAAAAATTAAATTAGAGAACTAAGCCATTTATATTTTATGAAGGATGAAGCCCTGAATTCTTAACCATCCATTTTTAATGAGAATAATTGCCAGTTTTATTTGCAAGTAATTTCCTAGTGTTAATCTCTTTGTTGATATGAAAAGTATTTTAGACGTGTGGCTTTCAGCCTTTAGTCTAACAAGATCCTTTTGGGGGCAGGAAATGCTAAGAGCGTGAGGGTCGGGTCGTCAAAGTGACTCCTTAGCAGCACATGAAAGGATGAGGGAGGGCTTTGATGCTGGGAAGAAACTCACCTGGAGTGTCTGGAGTGTCCCGTCTGCTCTGGCCAGACAACACCTAGGTGGTCTTCAGCTTGGGATACTGCTTCTAAGTGGGAATGGCAGTGAGCCAGGAACTGTGCAGAGGCTGAGGAGAAGGGGTCAGGAGCAGAAGACAAGACATGGTGTATGTGCTCTTGTGGCTTTTGTTGGGTGTCGAGAGGGCTGTTTTTTAAGAGGGAGCCTCCAAGCTGTGAGAACGAGTCCCCGCTAAGAAAAAGGAAAGAGCGGTGATTCTGATTACTGAGAACCATGGGATGTGTATCCTCTCCCTAGAAAAATGTTCGTATGTAAAATTTGCATACACAAAGGATTCACAAACCCCCTGAATTCCATCATAGAACCAAACTTAAAGACCCTTGATATATAGAAAAATGTTGACTTGGTGCAAAAAGAGGTTGCCTCCCGTGGATCTGTACCACCGTGGAGTGGCCTGCCTCAGCTGGCGAGTTTTCTCCCCTGCAAAATCCTGACGAGATTTGGAGATGAGGAGTCTGAACAGCCTTGGCTCTTCCAGCTTCAAGTCTCGTATCTCTTAAAATTGACAGTAAAGCTAGAGTCATTTCTTTGTTTTAATGAAATCATGTGGCCGGTGGACAAGAGCACAGATGGGTAATGTGAATATGTGTGTTTTCCCGTAGCCACCAACTGCTAAAATGCACGCCATCATCGAGCGCACGGCCAGCTTCGTGTGCAGGCAGGGAGCGCAGTTTGAGATCATGCTGAAGGCCAAGCAGGCCCGGAACTCCCAGTTCGACTTCCTGCGCTTCGACCACTACCTCAACCCCTACTATAAGTTCATCCAGAAAGCCATGAAAGAGGGACGCTACACCATCCTGGCGGAAAACAAAAGTGACGAGAAAAAAAGTAGGTCCCACTGCATCTGTTCCATCCAGACTTTGGGCCTGTGTTGTGGGGGTGGCAGGCAGGGGGTGGTTCTGGGAAAAGTTTGAAGACGTACATTCTTACAGATGCATGGTTGAAAGCCAGACTTGAATTTCTAGAATGTGTCTGAAATCCTGCAGCTAAGGCGTGATCATTACCCCTGCTGGTGCACCTTTATTAAATCCTTGGTTAATATTTTATAGATAAATGAAATATAATTAAATACTGATGCTATCAGAACATAATCATCTGGGTGGGAAATTTTTGCCCTCATTTTACCCACTTAACGTTTCAGAGAGAAAACAGTTATACCCTCTCTTGCATTATTCATGTACCATAGTGTTCAGGGCTGTATAGCTCTATACATGGCCACAAAAGTGAAAATTTTACTTGGATTATCTATTTTAAGCTATTATTTTTATAACAGTGTTTCTCTTTTAGAGTTCTTACTGCAAAAGCCAGTTAGCTGTATTTTGAATAAAGATGGTATTTTGACAAGTCTGTTCATATATGTGTGTATATATATACACACACACACACATATCTTTCATTGAATTTTTTTTTTTTTTTTAAATTAGAGACAGAGTCTCACTCTTGCCCAGGTTGGAGTGCAGTGGCATGAGCGCGATCTTTGCTCACTACAACCTCTGCCTCCTGGGTTCAAGCAATTCTCATGCCTCAGCCTCCCGAGTAGCTGAGATAGTGGGCACGTGCCACCACGGCCAGCTAATTTTTGTATTTTTAGTGGAGACAGGGTTTTACCATGTTGGCCAGGCTGGTCTCGAACTCCTGACCTCAGGTGATCTGTCCGCCTCAGCCTCCCAAAGTGCTGGGATTGTAGGCGTGAGCCACTGTGCCTGGCCCTTCCACTGAATTTTGTTCTCTTCAGCTAAAATAAGTTTCAAATCAGTTGTGTAAATCTTAATGCAGATCTCATCTTCAGGTTTGTTGTAGTTGTTTATTTCTGTTTGTTATTTTACTTTTCATAAATTAGTACAATTTTTGCCCTTTTTTAAAAAAGAAAAAAAAAGAAAGAAAAAAGCATACAGAGCCCCAGACCAGCTGGTGTTCAGTGTTGGCAGGAGTCACCAAATGGCCAAAGGTTGCAGTCCTTTCTAGCTGGCCTTCGTCTGAGCAACTTGGGTGACTCTAGGGAAAAATTACTAATAGTGTTTTTTGGACAGATAACCAAGAAGCTCTACCTTTGGCTGCTTCTAAGTTTTTGCATAATTTTTGTACTTTTTTTCTCACCAAACACCAAAATCTTGAAATGTGATTTTGATTTCAGAATCAGGAGTCAGCTCTGACAATGAAGATGATGATGATGAAGAAGATGGGAATTACTTGCATCCCTCTCTCTTTGCCTCCAAGAAGTGTAACCGCCTTGAAGAGCTGATGAAGGTTTTTATCTCATTGTTGAACTATATTTTTATGCCACCACAAAACTGCTAACGTAATTTTGGAAAATTTGAAGCATGTCATTCTTGTGTGTTACAGTTGTATCTTATTTTATCATCATTGAGGTGTATTTGCATTTTTGTTTTTAGCTGGGTGACAAAGCATCTGCTTCTTTGGTTTCTTACCTATCTATCTTATAAAATTCATGAGCATTTGCTCATGATAATTTTATCATTTCATTAGAGTTTTACTCTCTGAGATACTTAGAATAAGTAGAGTGTTGGTTAAGACTTGGACATTGTTCTGTTGTCCGGGTGCGGTGGCTCACACATGTAATCCCAGCACTTTGGGAGGCTGAGGCGGGTGGATGACCTGAGGTCAGGAGTTCAAGACCAGCCTGGCCAGCATGGCGAAACCCCATCGCTACTAAAAATACGAAAATTAGCCAGGCATGGTGGGTGCACTTGTAATTCCAGCTACTCAGGAGGCTGAGGCATGAGAATTGCTTGAACCTGGGAGGTGGAGGTTGCAATGAGCCAAGATCACACTACTGCACTCAAATCTGGGAGACGGAGTGAGACTGTGTCTCAAAAAGAAAAAAAGAAAATTGTTTAGTTGTGATTTCATCATAGGATTGGATTTTGTAGGTGATTAGAATGTATGCACCTTCAAGTCCTCTGTTACCATCATAGATTGTTTTTAAATAAATGTTTCCACTTCTAATTCTCCTCTCATCTGTGTGAAGAAACCACTCAGCAGTATCTTGTGGTTAATTCACACCACTCTGCCATTTGCGACCGAAAAAACTGGAGTCTACTAGATTTAAGTGTCTAGTTTTCAGCAGTTGCGCAGTGTGGGTGACCTTTTGTGGGAATGATTGCTGAGTGATGGGACTGGAAAAGCTGTTGGTGATCAAAAATCAGAAACTCCTATAAGGAAAAACAGTTTGAAGTTTTGCATGGGGTTTAATTGGTGTCAAACTGGACTTAGTTGTTCATCTGTCCTTTTCTTGATAGTTATTTTGGAAATTGAAACCCTGTGTTTACTCAGTTCCTCTGAGACAGCCAGCTGGGGCATTTGGCCACAACTAGTTAGGACCTACATGGGTGCATGCGTGTGTGTGTTTTTTCTGAGGCATGTACACTGTGTCCTAGAGGTGAGCGTTGTGTAGCAGAAGAGTTCCGTGTGGTTCCGAATACTGAACGCTAAGGCTGTGTCTTCTCTGTTTTCAGCCCTTGAAGGTGGTGGACCCAGATCATCCCCTCGCAGCGCTTGTTCGTAAGGCGCAGGCTGACAGCTCCACTCCCACCCCACACAACGCAGACGGTGTGCCTGTGCAGCCCTCCCAGGTGGAGTACACGGCAGACTGTGAGTACTCACTGTGTGTATCCTGACCTGTGTTCAGCTGCCTGTGACAGAGCCAGCTGCAGGGCTCTAAACCCCAGGTGTTCTGTCCTCAGTGTAGCAAGTTTGGAAGCAGGCAGCCCAGAGCCAGCGTGGGCCCCGAGGGAGAGTGCCATGAGGCCTTGCTTGGCCCCGTGTCAGCAAGATGCTGCCCTGTTCCAGCATTAGCTCTGCATTCCAGGAAGGACTGGCAAAGGTAGTTGCCTGCCTCCTCTTTCTTTTTTTTTTTGAGACAGGGTTTCACTCTGTTGCCCGGGCTGGAGTGCAGGGATGCAAGCATGGTTCACTGCATCCTTACCTCCCAGACTCAAACGATCTTCCCACCTCACTCTCCCTATTAGGTGGGACTACAGGCACTATAACTCTGGGCTGATTTTGATTTTTTGATAGGGATGGGATCTCACTGTGTTGCCCAGGCTGGTCTCGAGCTCCTGGGCTTAAGCAATTCTCCTGCCTTGGCCTCCAAAAGTGCTAGGATTACAGGCGCAAGTCGCTGCTCCTGGCCCTGGCTCTGCCCTTCTTTAAATATCTCCCCCCAAACCATACCTAGTGGCTTCCCTTACCTCTCAGTGGCTAGCGTGGTGTCACGTGGTCTCCCCACCTGCAGCAGAGGCTGGGCAGTGGGGCCTCCGTTAAACATATTGCTGCCCTAAACAAAGTCAAATGCTGTTAAGAACAGGGAGAATGGGAGACACATAGTGTTGTCTAACACAGTTGCTTCTTTAAAAAGGCTCACGGCAGGCCAGACATGGTGGCTGGTGCCTATAATCCCAACACTTTGGGAGGCTGAGGTGGGAGGATCACTTAAGCACAGGAGTTTGAGACCAGCCTGGACAACATACTAAAACCCCATCTCAACAACAAATAAAAAAAGTAGCTGGGCATGGTGGTCTGATCTGCTTGGGAGGCTGACGTGAGAGGATGGCTTGGCCCCAGGAGGTCAAGGCCGCAGGGAGCTGTGATTGCACTGCCGCACTCCAGCCTGGGCGATAGAGCAGTACCCTGTCTCCAAAAAAAAGCCTTACAGTGTAAGGCAGCATATTATATGCATATGTAAAGGAATTACATTTCTTTTTCTTGCTGATTGCAATTATTTTATGGTATTAATCGAAGGTAAGTCTTGAAGGTCCATGCAGGAGATCATTTGAAAGTGTTTGGCCTTGGTTCCAGCGTCAGGTCTTTTTGTAATTGTTTTATTCAGAGGTTAAATATGGAATGAGGAAGCTTTAGCAGAGCCGAGGAACCACCTGCTGAATCTGCTTCCCAGGCACATCTGGTGCCCTGACTCCATTTGTAAAGCTTATATTCTTCAGTTCAGCCAGAGATGAATTGTTAAAACATGAGCTCCTCTTTATTTGATACAATATTTTGTAAACATCACAGCTGTGTTCTTCGCTCTTCCCTTTTAGCACTGGCATATACTAAACGTTTTTAGACTTTAAAAAATTAGTTATTTGAGTGAACTCTCTGCATGTGTCCCCCCAAAAAACTTTTAAAGCTGAGATTGTCTTTAAATGATTAAATCAAGTCATATCAAATTTTATTGAATATTCAAATCAAAGATCAGCTCTACTGCTACAGAGGTGCGTGTTGAATGGTGTAGGCAGCCAGCTAGCTGAGGTGCTCTGTAGATCTCTCCTAACGCCCAGTCCTCACTGCTTCACTGCATGGATTTTTGGATAGACGGCCGCACACCTTTAAGTCCTGAGCTCCACTTGGCAGCCTGTGAAGCTCCTGCCCTGGCATCATGGGGTGCTATGCTCTGCCCGGGATGCCTGCCCACTGAGGGACTATCCCTCTGCTTCCTCCTTTCCTTTTTCCAAGCCTGTCGTTGAGTTTGCTTGAGCCACATGCATTGTCTGTGCACGTCCACTAGATCCCTGAAGCTGTTGCAGAGGAGAGGACTACAAATTCAGGGCAGGCTGACCTTGATTATTTGCCGTGTTAATCACTAGTAGAAGAACAGCTATGTGCAGACCCCGCAGGGCCAGGCAGGATGGTGGAGCTGGCTGATAGTGGCCGTTCTGTGACACACAGCATCCCCTGGTCTAGTGGGAACGTGATCTGAACCGAGGCATGCTGGGGCGGCATTGTGAGCTGTCTGGGTCAGAAGGCTGGGCACATTCCCAAGGGTTCACCGCAGGGCGATCAGAGCCCACACACCTTGGTTTCTCCCCACCTGCTGTTGGCTCCCAAGACCACTGATGAACCATGACAGCCTCTGCAGGAACCCCAAACTTACTCTGTTCAGGCCCCCGACTACCACCACCCTGGGCACTGACGGCACCCCACCCCATCCTCCCAGCTGCAAGTGCTCCAGCAGGGGGCGCCCTCTCCTCCCCTCAGTACAGTAGAGTTGTTTTGAAACATTATCTCCCCTCAACACAGCCAGAGCAGTGGACACGCACATGTGAGAGTAAGGCGGCTGGGTGCCTGGAGGCTGGGGAAAGCATGTGTGTCTGATGTTAGGGTCTGTGGGTTTTAGACACACGCTCCTGCATCAGCCATATGGGTCAGAGCCCTTAGCACAGTGCCTAGAGCTTCCTCGATGAGCACTCAGGGCCACCACCACAGTCCCACACATCTTGGATCTGGAGGCTCAGAAGGTGGGGGAGGTGTCCTTATCCAGTTTCCAAGAAGAGCCAAGAGCTAGAACTTTGGCTCTAAATCACTGTAAAACCCAGCAGAAATCAGTATAAACCTGTACTCAGGCGCTCAGCCTTATGGGATGAGTGGCTGTGGTGTGGCAGTAGTAGGGTCCTCCAGCACCATGCAAGCCCGGGCTGTGCGGCTGCTGCAGAATCTGCAGAGGTTCCAGGGTGCCTCACTCACACACGCCTCCCTGCCCGCCGTCTTCCTCTGCTACCCTTTGAGTATCTTGTTCTGCCTGCCTCGTGCTTCTGTGTGCTGTTGAAGTTTCGTGGGTGGAAGTCCCTCATGACCTCGTCTTCACCTTCCTGGGTTTTCAGTGAAGTTGTTGCGGAATTTGGGGTCCTGTGTGGCGGGTTGTTGGCAGTTGCAGGTGGAGACAGCAGTCATTGCTTTACCCAGGTTTGTCATAATTAGGGAACTACCTGTAATTCATGGACTGACTACTCTGGTTATTGGTTTGTAATCAGTCATTGGTAACAGCATTTATTTACAAATGCAGTTCAAATAGAGGGAACACTGGTCATAGTTTTTGGGTTGAGTTCCGTTGTGCTAAAGTTCAAGATAATATTTTTACATTCATTATATGTAGTTAGTTTCCAAAAGTATTAATGCCATGGGATCTCAACTATGCTTAAAATAATAAACTGAAGAGAGCTGTACAAAAAATACTGTGAGGCTCAGAGCTACCTCTCAGATTGGCATTTGGTTGATTTTTTTTCTCTGCATACTTTTTTCATTTTCCTAATGTTTTTGGGTATGCGTTGCTATTTTACTTTTTTTTTTTTTTTTTTTTTTTTGAGATGGGAGTCTCACCCCGTCACCCAGGCTGGAGTGCGGTGGTGCAATCTCAGCTCGCTGCAACCTCTACCTCCTGGGTTCAAGCAAGTCTCCTGCCTCAGCCTCCCAAGTAGCTGGGATCACAGGCGCTCGTGACTACGCCCTGCTAGTTTTTGTATTTTTAGTAGAGACGGGGTTTCACCATGTTGGCCAGGCTGGTCTCAAACTCCTGACCTTAGGTGATCCGCCCACCTCAGCCTCCCAAAATGCTGGGATTACAAGCTGAGCCACTGCGCCCAGCCATGTGGCCATGATACTTAAGAAACAAAGTAAAATACAAAGTTCATAGAATAACTGTAGTGTTTGAAACGCCGTGACAGTGAGGACAAGAGCAGCCTGTGCCTTGACCTGAGTTTGTGGCAAGCCCAGGCCTGTACAGATCTCCCGAAGTTCCTTCTCAGGCTTCTGAGCTGCTTGAAGGAAAGACCTTACTCACGGGCTGTGTCTGGCGAGCCTTTGTGAATGCAGTGTATGAAGTTGGGCTTTGTGAATGCAGTGTATGAAGTTGGTGGGCTGTTTTGAAATTCCTGCTTCAGCCAGCACAGAGGAAGGTTTGAGGGGCCCCTTTCTGTCTTGGGCCCACCCAGCCCTGCTCAGGAGAGCTTGAGAAGCAGGTCTGCGGGTTGTGCTGCCCTTGGCTGCTCTCAGCTTGCTCCTCATCTCCCCCTGATGTACCCAGTGCGTTCACAGAAGTGCTGCCCCACGGGGTTTCGTATACAGCCTGTTATTCCTGTATCTCTAATGTGTGATTTTCCATGCTCTGGGCATGCATGGGTTTGTTTCTTAAACAGCCAGCTTTCTACAGAGAAGGCACAACCGTCAGAGACATTAAAGTAATTTTCAGAAGAGGACTTAAACTGTGGGCTTTGCACTTGGGGAAATAGTAGGATACTGGAGAGAAAGCTATCTGGAAAATTACTAACATTACTGATAACATTTTGGGAGACTCACAGCTGGGGCAAACCTGGGGCCCCGTGGGGTCTGGAAAGGGGTGGGGCTAGTGTCCGTCAAGCAGGTCAGCTTCCACAGCACCCAGTTACTTTTCCCGAGAACAGAGGAATTGTGTGTGAGGGAGGAGGCGTGGTTTAAAGCCTGCAGAGACTCATGCCCCACGATGAAAGCAGAGCTCTGTGACCCACGTTTCAAACCACTGCCAACTGTGGACACCAAAGACGAGACAAAGGACGTTTTGGCCGTAGACTTGAAACATCCTGGGACTTACTGGGAAGGTGCATATCGTCAGGAGCTCCTCACCCTGCCCTGCGAGAACTTTCTTGTGTGCGTCTCTGCCATCTCCTCCTCCCATTCCTGACCTGTGGAGCCAGGGGTGGACTGGCAGGCCTATAAGGTGCCTTTCACATTGAGGGTCTTAGGATTTTCAGTCCAGCTTTGCAGGGAGCGGCAGTTTGTCGTTTGTGGGAGGAAATTTCACGATCATAAAGCACGGCATGCATCCTGAGATCCAGGCAGCGACC